ACGATCAGGTATACACGACTATTAATCCACGCAGAGAACAATTTCTACTGAAGTATCTAAAAATTTAGATAGAGTGAAGTGAGATAATTTGGATAGATTAAGAGAAATTTTCAAATTGTATAAAAGATTAATAAATTATATAGTGTATTCAGTCAAATGTACAAGATACGCATTATTGCACCAATAATGATATGAAAATAATTTTATTGAATTATCGAAATAATTGCGTAAGAATCTCAAACATGCAAAGAGTTTTGACATTCTCGCGACCAGTTTATCTTACATAATTATTTCGATGGCGCCTAACATAATTCTTTTCAGAATTATACCTAGCTAAGTTTTTAGATACTTTAGCAAAACTATCTATTCCGTGGAGGTTTTCTTTCATATCTTCGAGATGTTAACTGCTAATTAGATTTCTTAAAATAAAATTCTGGTGAAAATTCTGGTTAATGAACTTTAAATCTTATTTTAATCGTGTACGCGTTAGGATCCGCTCTCCGGACATCTGTTCAATCTCGAAGGGCGGAAGTGGAAGGGTCTTAGATCGAAACTAACGCCCGCGTTCTCGTCGGGCAAACTGAAGCGGATGTTCTACCTATTGATGGAATGCTGCGAAGAGTTGCAGCGGCTTATCAATGAGGCAAGCAACTTCGGTGACCAAACGGTCGAGGTACGGGAACTGGCCGCGAAATTCATCATTGACGTCATCGGCAGCTGTGCCTTCGGCATACAAATAAACGCGCTCACCGACGAAGAGTCCGAGTTTCACAGAGCGGTGAAGAAGCTCTCAAAGCCGAGTTACAAGGCCACTCTCTGGAGGATGCTACGAACGGCCATGCCGAGGCTATACAGACTGATGGGTGTGCAGCTCGTCGATCCGAGCGTTACCCAGTTTTTCACGCATGTCGTGTCACAAATGATCAGTCAGAGGGAGAGTAACGGCACGATCAGACACGATTTTATGGACCTACTAATCGAGCTGAAAAACAAGGGTACTCTGGAGAGCGAAGCCACTAATCCAAGAATCTGCAGCGATGAAGACGCCCAAGCGGCGAAGGAAATCGGTGAGCCAAATTGCAATGTCATGCAAAATAGGCAACATCGTTTCATTCATGTAGGCTAAAAAAGTTTGTTATTTATAGAATTAGATGAAAACACTATCGCGGCGCAAGCATTCGGTTTCTTTGCCGCCGGCTACGAAACGTCGTCGAACACGATCGCGTTTTGCCTCTACGAACTAGCCTTGAACCAGGAAATCCAAGATAAGACCAGGCGAGAAGTACACAATGCTATAGGAACACGAGATGGAAAATTAACTTACGACGCGGTTCAGGAAATGAAGTATCTCGACATGGTAATATTAGGTACGGATCCGTTAGTATCATTGATGAAAAATCCAAAAATGAAAAATTTTTTCGGATGTAATCATTTTACCGTGAACAACAAATTCGGATCTTACTCGTTTATGATAAAATCATTATGACGCAGTGAACATAAAATAGACACCGTTTATTTTTATTAAATGAAGTAAATTATTAAGAAGTGAACTCGTGTGGAATTCCGCTGCAAATATCTGCATACGTGTTTTGTGTCATACGTACGATGAGAGTTCACGTGTGTAATCAGATATATCTATCGCAAACACAGCACGAACGTGAGCACCGTTTATCTTAAATCGACACCGCTTATCTTTCAAATATGTTTTAGGCAATTCTTAAATTTTCATTATCCAAACGGGCGCGATCCGTTAAAGTTTACATTTTTAAATTAATTATTTTTCTATAGATGATTGTGATATCATTGTACGGTATAATTGCAAATAGCAAATTAAGCAAACAGTTAATCCAGAATTCATAATTCGCTGATTCAACGCGCCTTGGAAATAATCTGGAAATGCTAGAATTGTAAATTATGTAGAGACTCTCAGGAAGTATCCGCCAGCCCCACTGTTCGCTCGAAGATGCGAGTACAAGTACCGGATACCGGACAGCAATGTGGAGCTGCCGGCTGGCTTGCGGGTCGTCATACCGATTTATGGTCTCCATCATGACCCAAATTACTATCCCGATCCGGCAAGATTTGATCCCGAGAGATTCACGGAGGAGAATAAACGCACGAGACACTCTTACACGTATCTTCCATTCGGAGAAGGGCCACGAAATTGCATAGGTATTGACTCTTGCACTCAGAGAAAGAAACAATATCAGCAACTAGAAAATTGGGGAGAAACCTTGGGAGAAACACTTCAACTCTGTATTATGAAGATAAGAAAAATATGAATAATTTATATAGACTGCAGAGAGATAGTAGTATTACTCATTTATATAGATAAATCATTATCAAGAAAACTGAGGAGAAATACCTCAATTATTTATTATGAAGATAAGAAAAATATAAATAAACTAAAGAAAAATAGTAGCGTTATCCATTTATGGATAACTATTATTAATTAGTATAATGACATAATATAAATTAATTACTATCATAATATAAATCATTATAATATAAATTATCCAGACAAAAAGTCCAAAATCGAGACATAAGATCTTTTTTAAACGTCTTTAAAACGCCTTATGTCTTGTTTCTGGACATGCGTGTTATCTGAATAATTACTAAATTAATAATTATTTCCTTATTATAGTTGTAATATAATTTTATTGCGAGTAGAAAATTGGACAAACGGTTAATCCAGAATTTATGATCCGCTGACTCAACACGATATTACTTCACATGCTTACGTCGTTCATTTGAACAAAAAAAAACTTATCGATTCGCAGGTCAGCACTTGAAAATCATGACAGAATTATTCGCGATAAAAAGTAATATTTATAAAATTCGCAAATAATGCCATGTAATCTCTCTTAATCGTCTTATCGATTCTCTTCATCAGAAATCTTTTCTTATCTCTATTCGTCGTACTTCATGTTAACGTTGTTGAATCTCATTCAACTAATATTCTACTCGTTATCTTTGATTGATCGTTAATTCAACTAATAATTGGATGACAGATTGCATATTAAAGCATTGCGTCGCGTGCGAAATTTATCGTTCAAATAACTCACTTAGTAATTATTAGCTCAAGAGGCCAAGACGCATTGCTCGTTTGTGCGTGCAAATTTATGCGGCCTGGAGGACGATGACCTTGTACTGTATGCGTGTGTTTTATGCAAAAGTCTACGTTCCGATTTGATAAGCTTGTCTCAAATTCATCGTAAAGTCAGCAATTACGTAATCAACGCGTCGTAATCACGGCTCATTACAATGATTTCGTAACTTTCTAGGCATGCGGTTCGCATTACTGCAAATCAAGATGGGAATAATAGCGTTCCTCAAGGATCATCGAGTTGAAATATGCGAAAAGTCACCGGTGCCGATCAAGTTTAGCAGACGGAGTCTTGTGACCGCGAGCGAGACGGGATATTGGCTTACCATCACCTCATCTTCCTAAATGCAGATTGTATTTATAACAGTGTTTTTCTTTTTTCTTTAAAAAACTAGTAGGTAAAAATACATGAAGCACATACATTTTATGTACACATAAAAGTATATAAAATTACTGCGATAATGTACTTATCTGTGACAAAAAAATAGAAATTGTTACTATTAAATAGTTAATTTTTTATGAATGTGTGTCAACGTGAATCCCTTCTCGTTCTCGGACAAAATTAGATAGTCATTTGTATCTTAGCAAAATAGTTTAGAATCAGATTCAGTAATTCTAAATTGTTTTATTACAATCAGAGTCATATTCACAAAAGAAACATTTTGTTTAATACTCGATGACGGTATTTTTATCTAAAGGACGTATAAAATATTATTTCTATTTAATTAAGAAAGAGAGCAATAAAAATAGAAATATATAAAACGTCAGAGTGTTAGGAACACGTCACATGAGTAGTTATGTTAAAAAGCCACGTAGACTTAAAAGGTGCGTATTATAATAATTCAAAATCATTTGGACCTTCAGTTGAACCTTCCAGAGATGACGAAGTAGATTAAAAAAGATTTGATACGAACACTTATTTGGCACATTTGAACATATATATCCGTTGAAAATTGCATTATGACGTTTGCATTACTCGTAGATAAAATACAATTACACGTAGATGGAACACAATATTAATATATCTAACAAAGTAGAGACTATTAGACTTTATTGAGCAAAGAGATTGGCAAAATCTCTTCTTCGGAAGAATAGAACATCAAAGAACATGTCCGAATTATCGGAAATCATTGTAATTTTCTTCGATCGATGTCATACAATCAAGATTCTTGAATAAGGTCGAATGAAGACAATCGAGAAGTAGTCGAGTTACGAAAAGAAACGAGCGAATAATGATTGGTTTTCCATTACAACTAAATGTAAGATTTGTGAGGGAGATTATCCAGTTTTCAAATGCAAGAAAGAGAATCAGTGTCTGCTTATTATGTTTATTTTAATAATGCGAGCAGAAAATACAAAAATTAGCTGAAAGATGGAAGAAGGTTGTAGAACACGAGAGCAAATAAATTTAAATTTACTCTTTTTTCTATATTTTAATTTAAAAATAAAAAAATATATGGAATGATTTTATATTCTAAAATACTTTAAATGGATAAAACTAATGTCTTTACTACAATTACGAAAACATTAAGTTGTTATCAGCGGCCCTTATTTCTATGTACTTATATACATACAATTAAAAATAATTGGTCGAATTGACATCGATGGACCAAGGCCATCAATATCGATCAATATCGATTAAACTAATTATTTCAAGGAGGGTACAAGCAGAATACGAGTGACATCAAAATGATGTCAAAACTACAAGTCACTCATTCAATTATCATCCAGTTTAATATTATTTTAACGTTATCATGACTTATCCTACTTGAGCAGCATTCATACGACAAATTTATCTTATATTAAATTCTAATAATTCGCTTTTAATTTTCCACGAAGAGCACTGTGTGAGTGTATATATGTACTTTACTTTTGTAACTGTAAAATATATTTATATAAATGCGGTGTTTCGAAAAAAATTAAATACCACGCTGTTCAGACAAATTTTACGTATCGCGCATTGCTCGATCGATGTAATTTGAATCATTTTTTACTTATTTTCATTATCATTCTTTGAACGGTGGCTTGTCCGTGCGAAAGCGCCGACTTTATGAATCACCCGGTATAAACAAACAAAGTCGCACAAGCATTATAGCAGCTACGCGCTTCCATATACGAACGGAGCTGCCGGGGACAATTTATCGTGACGCGGAGACGCGTGCACGGTAAGCGGAACTCCTATAACTGGTCGCGAGCCTACGCGCTCCATAAATTGAATCGAATAAGGCTCGCGCGATCAACGCGAGGAGCGCGGGCCCGTTGGTCGTCGGCGAAGCCACTTCCTTGACGCGCCGTAATAGCGGCTGCAGTGCCGTCTCGCACGTTGGCGTCGTTGACCACCGTAACAGTATAACGTATAACATATATATACATACTCGAGCGAGTCGAGTCAGTGCGCCGGTTGCCGTCGGACGCCCGTTAGAGGTTTCGGAGCGAACTTGGAAGGGGACTCGACGAAAACCGCGCCGGAACCCGAGACGGGAGCGGAGCGCCGGGCGAGGACGTTACTTTCCTGAACGCTGCGTCGGCGGATCGTCTCGTTTAATCGAGCGAGGAAGCGAGAGAAAGAGAGAGAAAGAGAAAGAGAGAGAAATACGAGCACCTGTCAGCCGAGAAACGTGCCTGTTCGGAGAATAATGTTACGGTGAGCCGCCGGCGAATTTATCAAGTTGCTCCGAAGTCCAGCAGTAGCCATCGCGCAGCTGATAACGCGGCCCTTTAAACGCACACGCCGCGCAGCTCCGGATTCCTCCTCTCTCGTTATTATTGCTCCTTTTCTTCCTTTCCCCCGTTGTTTATCGATACACACGCGTTGCGTTGCTCGCTCCAGCTTGCTCTGGAGTCAGTTTGGAATCTGGCAGCCAGTAGCGCACGCGTCGGCAGTCGCTACGTGTCACCGTGTCCGCGAAAGTCGAGAAATACGTCCGACGCGGTGACGTTTTCAGGGTGACACGGAGCGACGCGAGATGCGAGATGCACGATAGTCGTTAGGCACTCCCGTGAGAGACGCCGTCCTCGAGGCTGAGAGCGATTCATTTGGACTCACTCGCCTCGCCGTATGAGCGGAAATATCTCCGCTCCAGCTGCTGTTCCCGTCACTGACTCCGTTCCGTTATAGGTTAGAACGTGTGATTTATGACACCAATCCTAATTCGACTGTTACTTGCGACGGATCGTAGGGAAACGTATTGTCGCCGTAACAATAGGCGTTCGAATCTCATTTCAGATGTCACACTACAGTAAAAATACCTGCGACCAAAGGACTGCGATGATCGATCATGAAAGGAAGTATCAGGAGGATTTGGAACAAGCCAAGGCTCTCAGTTTGGAGACCTTGGCTCTAGAAAAATACAGATTGGAGAAGTTGCGATTGGAACTTAGTAACGTGCAGCAGGCATGCATCATTCAAAACAATGTGTGCAATACAAATAGTGTGTTAGAGACAGACAGCTCGCAAGGAGAAAGGTATATATTTCGTCACTCATCACATTCTCATTAGTTGATTTTAACTTTACAATTGATTATAATTTGATAATATATTATTTTATATTATATATAATTTAATATAATATATATTGATTACAATTGATTATAATTTTATAATATGATATAAAAATAATTTGATATAAAATCTATATACAATAATTGGATATAATTTAATAATTTTTAACTTGATAGAAGCGTTACTGTTTACTGTCTAATAGTACTTAAGTCATTTATGCATTATATATACAGGTCTCAATGCAGAAGTCGACCAAGGCCTGGATGCATTAACACAAATCAAAAAAGTACTGCAATATTAGCTCCGCCACCTCCAATACCATGTAGAAGAAATTCGACGACTGCCACGTCAAGTCAAGATACCACTGATCTAATCAATTTTACAAGCCCTATAAAACAGGATAATTTGGTTGAATATTGTTCAACTCCACCTCCACCACCACCGTAAATATATATTTTTGTCATAAGTATGTCTAGTTGAGAGACAAGGCAATTTTTTAAAGAACCTGTTTGCATTTATATAAACATGTTTTTATAATTATTTTTAAAATTATATAACAATCATATTAATTCTATTTTGATTTTGAAGTAAATCATGAAGTTTTTATATTATCAATTTTTGAGTAATTTTAAAATCTGATAAATTATGCTTTTTTTTTATGGACGATAATTTTTATCTTTACTAAAAAGATTGTGGCTGTTTACAGAAAAGCACCAATAGAACCTAAATGGGATACTCATCCGTCATTATTGAAGAAACAGTCAAGAGTATCTCGAAGCAACAGTTCAGTTGGCGCATATCAGTCTAGGGACTTTAGGTATCACTCCCTTTCCCCAGGCCCGCGATCTTCGACAGCACCATGTACGCCAGGAACACCAGGAATCAGTCCTATCATGTCAAGAGCTAGTAGTGTTAGCAATAATGTACCTGATATTGCACCACAGGTAATACAGATTTCTATAGAAATCTCTTCTGAAATGAATATTCTAAACTCTCTTTCTCTCTCTCTCTCTCTCTCTCTCTCTCTCTCTCACTCACAAAATTATTTTTTTTTATTTGTTTTTTATTTGTTAAGGTGATTAATACGGAGCAGTCTGTTAAAACACACTTTTCTTTACAGCCTGCATGGAAATCTATTATCTTTAAGCATTTTTTCTTCACGCAGGTATATCATGTCTGAAGATTTAGAAGATGCTCATTTTTTTCTTTTTTATTTAGCATAATACTTTTTAATATTAAAAATAAATTATATATATTTTTTATTGTTGTCTCTTAACCTTTAGACGGCGGGGATTTATTTTCAAATTCTTACAGAACTTTTCCTTGAAAAAAAATTTGTTATGATTTTTTATATGATTGTATTCCTTACCTCAAAATATGACATTGTTTCAGCGCTTCTATAATGACAATTACCGTCCTGTAAAGGTTAAAAGATGTGCAAAAAGATTTGAAATATTTAATATATATTCTATTGCTAGTTTTACTAATTTTTTAAGAAAAAAATTTTATTAATTAATGACGAAAAATCCAGAGAATATTGTTGAATATATTTATATACTTCTTTTTTAGATTCCTCCATTGCCTATAAATTATAGACCAACTGTTGCACCTGCCATATGTGCTCCATTTTGTATGGATGATGAACAGTTGAATATATTAAAAGTGATAGAGAAAAAGCCAAATAGCAATCTTATAGATTTGAATAGTTTCGAGCAAACAGAAGACAAAACCAATGTACGAGTTAGCGTATTGGAAGCATTCGATCCATTACTTATTAAGACTGACAATGGAAGTAATTCTAGAGAATTTAAAGATGGTAAAAATTAAATCTTATCTTTTTTAAATTATTAATATAATATAAAATAAATGTACAAAAATAATAGCATAAAATAATATAGCCAAATTTAAAACTCAAACACATGAAAAATGCAAGTACATTCTATTATTCTGACATTATCATTGAATAATTGTTGCAGATTCGCAATCGCAAATTAGTGGCAGTGTATATGATCCATTCGACCCGTTTGATTATATGTATAGCACAAATGAAAGTGTCAACTCGGATCCGGTTTATGCCGCTGTGGAGAAATCTGCAAAATCGCCAGCTGTGTCGCCAGCCGCACCACCTCCACTGCCTCCTCGAAATTCGTCCGCATGGAATACTATAGAGAGACGAAGAACCTCTTTAGATCGTCGAGTAAGTCCCGAAAAAATTTAAAAGTCCAGTTTAGTAAAACAGTTACACTTTTTAATATTATTTTTAGCAGAAGCGTCAAACACGATTGTATGAGAATGTAACAGTCATTAAAACTAGATCGTCTCTGCATGATTGTGATCTGAAGGCATTTCACAACATGATAAAGTCTATACGAAGTTAGTAAAGAACGTTCTTTTCTTATGATATACTAATACACTTTTTATTGTGCTCATAACTTGGCTCAATTTTAGGCGAGTTTCCATTTAATAATCCTAGTACAAATATTGGATATGTTGTTAGCCCAATAATGGAGAATCTCTATCCAGATGGTACAAGTATAAAATTAGTAGTTCATCCACAATTACCCAGTAACGATAAAGATCCTGTACCATCTATTACTTTCACTTGTAATGGTAAGTTAAAAAAATTTATTTTCGAAATAAAATTGCTTTCTCTTTTTTTACATTAAAATTGTATTAAACATTATGTTTTAGTGAATTGCAGTGTCGAACATGTTATCTTGAACGTTGCCTGTTCCTTGGATGATGAAGATACAGTAAATGTAGAAAAGTATTGTTTAAGAGTATGGGGGCTAGCTGAGTATCTTGCACCTAACACAACCTTAGCACAATACGAATACATACACTTATGTATTAAATTAGAAAAAGATATTGAATTAGCTATAATGAGCAGAGCACAAATTAAACAATCCATTGCTCGAACGGTTAATATGACGAATATGTTATACAAGCATTATTATAACGTATCACAAACAGGCTATTTAAATCATTATTCTACTTTTTCTTTTCTAGTTACAAGATGATAATTGTGATCAGTCTCTAAAATTAGAAGACATTCTACCAAATGAACCATCGCAGCCTATTTCATATGATACATTACTTATTTTACTAGGTATATATATTCACATATATACATATATAAGAAAGAATTGTTATTAATGATATATTTACATGTACACAACAATGTACATTTTGTTATGTTATTTATTGTAGAGACAGTAGAAAAGGAAATGGAACGCGTAGAAACTGCAGCGTTACAATTGGCAACCACAAATCAAGGTTCTACCTTATTACCTCAACTTCAACCGCACGGTGTAGTACAAGCAGTTAAAGCAGTATGTGCCTTAATGGGAAACATTGAAACATTTGAAATTACGGAAGCTGTTGACAATTTCGTAAATGCTTGCTGTCAATTTCTGCCGCAAGTTCATACAGCTAATATAGAATGTAAAAAGCCGGAGATTATACATGAAGATGGCGATTACGCTGTGGTTACTTTGAGAAAAAAGTTTCCCGATGTGATTGCCTCTCATTGTCATAAAATTCGTGACGCAATTCAAGAACTCGTCGAGACGTACTGTCATGCATTTAAGGTCGACTTTCAATTGAATAGCAAAGGAGAATTTCCAACAAGTAAGAAGTTACACTAATTTTCTAACGCAATATATTATATTTTGTATAAGATAAAATTATGATATACTACTAATCATGATATACTTTCTCTTAATAGATACACTGATTGCGACAGAAGTAATCGATACTATTTTGGTGCGTGTTGGAGCTCTGCATAGGCTACCAACTACATGGAAACATGACGATTATATAGTGGCAGCTCAAATCTTTCATGGAACTAGACCTGTAGGAAATCCAGTTTTGTCGGAACCAATGACGGTTAGCACGAATTTTTATCCAAGAATTTTATTTAATTCATGGTAAGTACGAGAATGCACTTACAATGATCAAAAATTCCAAATGTCGATTTAATAAAAATTATACAAATTATATAAGGTTGGAATTTCGTGGAATAAGTGTGTGTCAAGTGCCACGGGAGGCGAGACTTGTGTTAGTTCTTTATGGACGTACGCTGCAGCCTGCGGAGCACGAATCTAATTCATCTGCAGAGAACGCAATGCAGAAAGAAGAACTTGGATGGGGTGCTATACAATTCTTCGATTATGACGGGTAAATGACGCGTCTGCCACAGATTGTTCTTTGCATTCAGCTTTTTATCTTTGAAATTTTTATAGTCACCTTGTGTTTTTCGTTGCTTCATATATATATATATATATATACCTTTATATACCTTTATTTTAATTCTAGCGTTATGAGCCAAGGAAGTTTTTTTCTGTCTCTTTGGCCAGCTATCGCAGACAAACGATTAGGTCCAGCGCCAGCGCCTGGAATCCATCCCCGCGGCGATACTCATCCCATTATAGGACTAGAATTACCCGATTATGGGGGAAAGGTTTTATTCCCTAATTCTTCGGAATTGCGAGATTATGACGTGAAATCATTAGATTTTAATTCGTTAGATCAAAATACGCAAGAGCTATTAATAGACATTACACAGCAAGATACATTTTCGAGGTATGTTGTAATTATGTGATTAAAAATATAGATTTAAATTTATTAAATGATATTTTTTAAAAGCTGATTTCTATTTCTAGACCGCCTATCGATGAAAGAGAAATTTTATGGGAGAAAAGGCATTATTTACATGATAGACCTGAAGCTTTACCAAAAGTATTACTAGCTGCACACAGTTGGGATTGGGCTTGTCTACCGGATTTACATGCATCGCTTAGAATTTGGAGTCCACTGCCTCCAGTACAAGCATTGCAGTTACTTTTACCATGGTATGCATTACTTATTCGATTATTTCTTTATTACAGCTTCTGAAAAACTGTTTTGTAAAACGTCGTGTTTTCTTATAGCTTTCCAGATATGAAAGTTAGAGAGATGGCAGTTGATTGGATCCGCGAATTAAGTAATGATGAATTGGTTGATTATCTACCACAACTACTTCAAGCAATAAAACATGAAACATATGAAGCATCACCTCTAACTCGATTCTTATTAGAACGTGCCTTACTTTCACCAAGAGTGGCTCATTATATTTACTGGTTGCTAAATCAAGCTCTGCCGGGACAAAGTCCCCAGGTACAGGTTGGGTGATCAGCATTGGTGACGTTATTAAATATTTACACATTTGCATAATATTTACTATGGCTTTGTAAATGAAAAATAACTTTTTTTTTATAACTGTATAATTAAAGCACAGAGAATTTCTTCATGCGATATATATTAGTAATATTAATATGTCGCTAATATGTTATTTGAACTTTTCTATTTATATTTCTATTTATATTTCTTTTTTATTTATATTTCTATTTATATTAAATTATAAAGTGCATTTATTTTATAGAATTCTGCTGAAATCTCAACGGAAGATGACAAAGCAATTAGTTGTGCTCGTTATCAACGAAGATTACAATTAATGTTGAGAGCGCTATTAGCAGTTATCGGAGATGCTCTGAGAAACAGTTTTCTCACTCAACAATTGCTAGTTAAAGTAGGTCTTAACTTTTATATCTTGTTTACTTCAAATGGTCTTACGTATTTCAAATATACTTTAAGTTGTAATTTGTACAGAACCTACATCAAGTGGCTGAAAATATTAAAGTTACAAAGGAATCTTTACGAATGGATACACTTAAAACTGGTTTACAAGAAATACACTGCCACTTAAAGGAAGACGATGGAACATGTTTACCACTATCTCCTAGTAAATTAGTATTTGGTATCAATGTACAGACATGTGCCTATTTTCCATCGTTCACTCTTCCATTAAAAATTAACTTTATCAGTTGTGATAATGTTATAAATCCAGCGATATTCAAGGTACATTTTCAATGGGTAATTTGTAAAAATATCTTACAAAACATTATCTTCTTCCAAAACTTTGATATTAATACACACATTGTGTTTTTTTTTTCTAGGTTGGCGATGATTTGCAGCAGGATATGTTGACTCTCCAGATGGTGCGCATTATGGATAAATTGTGGTTGAAGGAAGGTCTTGATTTAAAAATGGTTACTTTTGCTTGTGTGCCCACCGGCCACAAACGCGGAATGATAGAAATGGTAACGAATGCAGAAACGTTACGGAAAATCCAAGTCGAGTTTGGACTAACAGGATCATTTAAGGATCGACCGATCGCGGAGTGGTTAGCGAAGCATAATCCTTCGGAACTGGAATATGAAAGAGCGGTGGATAATTTTACTGCTTCTTGTGCTGGCTACAGCGTTGCCACTTATATTTTAGGAATTTGTGATAGGCATAATGACAATATTATGCTAAAGACATCTGGTCATTTATTTCATATTGATTTTGGAAAATTTCTTGGTGACGCGCAAATGTTTGGAAACTTTAAGAGGTATGTATATATCGTATAAAATATTACGTTTTATTTATTTCTGCACTTACACTCTGTACTATATTTTAAAAGAATAAAAAAGAAAAAATGTATTCTTGCTATTATGTTTTTAATCAGAGATAGGACGCCATTTGTATTGACGTCTGATATGGCATATGTTATAAATGGTGGTGATAAACCTTCAGCGAAATTTCATCATTTCGTCGATTTATGTTGTCAAGCTTTTAATATAGTGCGAAAACATGGAAATCTTATTCTTCATCTTTTTGGATTGGTATGTTTTAAAATATTTTTAAGCTTAGAGGAAAGTAATTATTACGTAATTATGTAATGCACTTAATGATTTTAACAATTTCTAATAAAATATGTGATAAAAGCACGTACATTCACACATCTCACACTTATATTTTTTTAAAATAAAAGTTGCATCTTTCTATAATTTTCATGCAAAATATGATAATAAATTATTAGAATCATGTGTTAATTTCTTTTAGTTTCCAAAAAATAAATTTGTTTGCTACTATACATATATCACAATCTTAAATTTTATATATATATTATTAGGTGTTGGAATTAATTCGTAGCGTTTTTAATGAAAGAATGTTATTTATTTCACATGAGCATTAAAAAATACATTAATGAAAGTACTTCCCATCACTTGTAAAACGCTACGAATTAATTCCAACACCTAATAATATTTTCAAATTTTATAGTTAAAGTAGATGAATTTTAAAAAATAATTCAAATTTAAGTAACTTAAGTAAATAAATTATTTTGGAAAGATGTTTTCAATGTGATGAGCTGATATGTTTTGAATTAATTATTGTAATAAATACAAACGCATTTTATATGAATTATGCAAACAATTAGACCGAATATATTTGAAATAAAGAATTTTGTAAGTTATGTGGTCAACCACACCGCTATGAAAACAATAAAACCACAACGGAAGAACATATCCGTGTGTTTTATCAGAAAGCGGACCGTTATCTCACTAAACTATATGCGATGTAGTTAATTAGTATTTATCGCCCGCGCTCATAATATCGTATGCTGCAGCAGTCTGAGTCAATCATGTTAAGAGTAAAGTGTTAGAAGTGAATAAAAAAGTTTAGACATTGTTGTACAATACAACGGAGAGCATTTACAAAGATCACAACAAAAAAATAGATACATTGGTTATTTTTATATATTTAACGAATAAATCACAATGGATAATTTAATATCACGAAAGAATCTTCTCAGTGATTTGCACAAACAAAGTATCATAGCGCGAAAGTTGCACGATATCGAAATAAAAGATCATTTAAACAAGGCGAGAATGAACGAGTATACGACTTCGCAGATGACTTCATCCGGTATTCCTGGGGTGACCGTGGACGCAGTTAGTTATGTGCAGAAAGCACTGCTTCCTGGACAAACAAATCCCGAAGCAGCGGCGACTTTCGCTCGTATGATAGAAAGTTCACTGAAAAGTTGGTTTACGCAATTTAATTTTTTCTTACATAATCTGGCGCAGATGAGATTCTCTGGAGATCACAGTGAGGGGGAATTACTATCCTTCATTCCGCGCACGTACACGTGAGTCTTTTTTTTTGCTAAACGTTATAAGTAAAAGTAATAACGCTCCAAAAAATCAAAAATCTTAAAAAAAAATCTTAAAAGAAAATCTTAAAATCTTAAATTTTACTCGATTTTTCCACGGATAACAGATGATGTATCAATATATTTTTTAAATAATTAATATAGAATGCAGCAAGAAGGTGAATTAACAAGCGTCCAGGTTCATGGATATCAGAAACGCTATGATCCGGAGAAATATTACATGTACATTTTACGAATCCAACGGAAGGGCCAACCAGATCCAACATATTTATTCCGATCATACAAAGAGTTTTGCGAATTCTATCAGAAATTGTGCATACATTTTCCACTTGCTAAAGTAACCAGGTAAATATTTTATATTAATCACATATTCTTCTTTTTGCAAATTCCTATTTTTATTTTTATCTTCTACATTGTTTAACATAAATATTGTAAGATTATTATAATCTTATACATACATTTATTCTAATGCAAAAGCTAAATATTAACATTTTCTTACCCCATATAGCACTGACTTTCAAGGAATGTCTCTAAAAACATCCAATATTAAGGATGTTTTCAGGATGTTCCTCGAATAAAATATGCTGTGTGTATATACTAAAATATTTTATATAAATATATGAGATTATATAATGCATATGTAATTATATTCTATACAGTTAAATTATATTTCAATTTCAAATATAGTGTATAAATAATAAATGCGAACAAACATATATATATATATATATATATATACATATATATATATATACACACACACATGTGTGTGTGTGTGTGTGTGTGTGTGTTGTGTGTGTGTGTGTGTAGTATATATAAAAAGATATAAGACAGTAAAGTAGAGATGCCGAATCGAGACAAGAGTATCCCTTTTTTATGCTAAACGTCTATATATGCATTATTTAACATTTTCTCCTTATTAGATCACTAGCTCGTTATCTGAATTGATAAGACTTTTTGTATCTGACGTATTCTGATCTTTAGTTATCTTATTTAATTTCTCGCTACATGCCGATTCCTCTTTTACATTTGGATCTTTGGTGAAAGTAGAAGACTCTATATTTTCAACCGAATAATTATTTATCTGTGGTTTGTTGTCAATGTCTTTTATCGTGATTTCCTCCGAATCAATAATTGACGATGATGTTTGATTTGTAAGATCTGCTCTTGAGCGATTATTTTTCACTATTTCGTTATCGCCACTTGACGTTGAATCACTTACGATTAAAATAGGCGCAGTTGACAATGAGACTTCCATATTTTTTTGAATTGCCGGCTCGAATGAAATTCTCCGATATAAGCCTGTCATTGCTGGAATTTTAGACGCTTCTTTCTCCATCGATAGACTTGCCCGAAACCATTTCAGACCCATTTTCTTCTAAAATTTAATATTAAACTTCTGAAAATCAGTTAATTTATATTGAAAATTTTCAAATTTTAAACGAATTCTTAAATTACCTACAGATAACATTTCCGTATTTTTATTGATAATATTAAAAATATTTTACAAGCTCTTTGTAAATATTACGAAGATATTACATCGTATAAACATAATATAAAATTACTCACTCTTGTGAAAAGAAACGATATATTAACTATAAATTGCGATTTCTCTTTCGAGAATGATGTATATTTATAGAACGTAAATTGTATCCTAAAAAGTACATTATATTTTTTATTTTGTTATCTTACAATATTAATTTTGCTCATACAAGATGACGTGCAATGTAGAGTGATATAATTATTTTCTTCCAATTAGAAAAATTATTTATACTTACAATATAGAACTTTTAAGGCAACTATCATCACCCGTGCTTACTTTAGAAAAAATGCAGATGTTCCAGATCGAGGTTTAGTTGAGCAAATCACAATACCTTTAAAAGTAGAAACTATTATGGCGTGTTATATTGCCACAAATTCGCGACGCAGAGCGAAGACAATATGTCATATGAAATATAAGAAGATATCTTAAACGCAAAAACTCTGCGTTCACAATGTCATACCTTTTGATATGCGTTATCTTAAGATCATCTGATATTAAAGTCTGACATCTCATATCTAACAGTCTTAGTCATACAATGATTAACTTGCGAGCGTAACACAATTCATTAAACGTTAAAGGAACACATTAATTAATACGACACTTTATTCACATTAAAACACTTGAGTTTAAATTCATTCTTTTCCTTACTACAGTACAAAGAGATCTCAATATGACTACTACTCAATACAATACTGTACGTCCTGTACGATCTCTGTTATGTTGTTTATTTACGATATAAGTATCTAACGATAGCTTGATCCTTCGAGACGCGAATAGCGATATTTATGAATATGGAAACATCCTGTTTACTCGCATTGCGAGAATAATCTCGAATCTCTCTGTTTATTTCATAGCTTACCAAGTGGAATTAGCGTGGGACGTTCTAATATTAAACAGGTAGCCGATAAACGACGTGCGGATATAGAAAAGTTTCTTGTGAGTCTGTTTAAAATGGCACCGGAAATATCTCAAAGTGATCTGGTATATACTTTCTTTCATCCACTATTACGAGACCAAAAGAATCCCGACATTCGTTTGCGTAAAGTCAAAGGTATATTTTGATACATTTAAATTTTCCAAATATATATTATTATTATTATTTGTAAACGCTATTTATCATATGATAAACAGCGTTTATCACTCTGAAATATAAATCTGTATAATATTTATACATTTGTATTAATAATAAATTTTACAATACATTTATTTTATATTAATAATAAATTGAAAATTAAATTATTTATTATAATAAAATATTAAAATAATAAAATACAAAATATGTAAGTAATAATATTTTTAAAATAATGATGTTCTGAAAAATATAACTTAGCGACCGTTTAAAACTTATATGAAAATAATTTATGGGTTAATATATCATTTTTATTTTTAACAGTTGGAAATAATTGGTGGGCTGAGAAGAGAGTCAGAGATAACATGCAGAGTGGTCAAATCAAATTGGCTCTTCATTATGTTCGCGGCACTTTATCTGTCATGGTTTGCCATGCACGAGGTCTCCCCAAAGTGGCTAATGCTCAAGAGCCAAATACGTATGTGAAGGTATACCTCAAGCCCGATCCTACAAAGGCAACAAAACGGAAAACGAAAGTAGTAAAGAAGAATTGTTATCCATCTTTCATGGAGATGGTAAATAAATCAGATATTTATAATAAGCTATAAATTGTAAATATTAGATGTAATAAAAAGAAATCCATTATTTTTCCAATAGATGGCTTTAGTAATCTGTATCTCGCATAGACGAGATACAGATTACTAAAGCCATCTATTGGAAATGGATAAATAATAGATATATAGAATAATAGATATACAGATAATAATAGAATAATACAAAAGTGTATTAATTGCTTAATTAGACAATTAAGCTTAGTAATAACTCATTTTTTACACTAGTTGGAGTATAGAATGCCTCTAGAAGTAATCAGGGAAAGAACGCTCGAAGCAACGATATGGAATCATGATACTTTACAGGAGAATGAATTTCTCGGTGGTATAAGTTTGCCACTCGGACATGTTGACTTGACAAACGAAACTAATGAATGGTTCCCATTAGGTAATGTACGATGAAGCGAGTATAAAGACTGCCCTGGAAAACATATATAGAAGTCCCTTTTAATGCTCATAGATATTATTAAAATCTAAATATATCATATTAGCGCACAATATTAAATCTTTTTTATTATGCACAGCCAAGTGCAATAATCATCGTGCTTTATGACACAGAAATAATGTTTATTTATATAATTTCATATATCTAGCAGAACTTCGGTTTCTTTGACGAAGATAAACTCGAAAAATAAACGTGAAAAATTATGTGATATCTGAAAGAAGATAATTATACGCAGGAGGAGAGTCAACTTTTATAATAATTATTAAAAAAGATAGTTTACACATAATGATGATAGTATAGAATCTGAAAAGCATCTAAATTAAGTTTGCATAACAAGTAGTTTAGGAACGAAAAAAATTTTTTACAGAAATTTTGAGTATATCACATTTATATATTATTTTAATTATATTTTTAATATAATGTATCTGAAAATATGACAAATTTTTTTTTCAGCATGAATTTAATAGATTTACATTGGAGGTTTACTCTTTTATATACAAAATTTTATACACTTATTTATTTACAACACTTTTTACTGACTATTGATCAACAATTGTAAATAGAATGTACTTTATATCATATAAATATGAGAATGAAATTTGTAACTATTAGATTAAGCTCTTTTACACTAAAGTAGTATGATTCCAGCGAAAGAGTTTGCAGTTTTCTATTACAGACATACATCTATTCGTATAAAAATAGTATATGAAAGTTGAATTTGATACACAACATGTAGCGGAATCATGTTTTACGAACTTTTACGGTGTTATTTTATTAGGAAATTATTAAGAAAGAAATAATCTAATAATTGTCTATTTATATAATGGCCTCATTTATAATGTATTATTGATGATTCTGTACATAAATACTCTATCAAATCTATGTAATAAATCATTTTTAAATTATCTATTATGTGTATGTTTCATTGCATATATCACATGTTGTTAAAAAATTATATTTTTACAATTACTTGTGCATTAATTAGCTCCGAATATCTTTACTCTTTTGTTTAAAAATAATTGCCTGCAGTTAAATAAGAAAAATGTTTAATAATTTATTCCGTACGTTTATTTAAATAAAAAAAGAATTGTTTATATTTATAATTTTTCATTAAATCAACTTCCCTTTTTATCAGAAAGGTAATATTTATATAAATACTGTAATACCGATAGAATTCTGATAAAATAAAGTTTGTTAGCTGAGACGCTACTAACATAACTTTAATCTCAGACTGTTCGGACAGCGGATTCCGAAATCAGAAATATCAACATGATTAGATACCAAACAACACTATTTGTTAATAGCAATTAGAGAATATAAGCTAGTACACATATTTACGTACATGATTCATGCTTAGTGTGTCCTAGCTTATACATTTTCTTTATGCTACCAAATTAATAATGAATGAAATTAATGAATAAAATTTATTGAAGATATATGAATTAAAAATTTGAAATTGAAAATTTAAATTTTCAAATTTGTGTTTCTTGAATAAATTTTATTCAATAATTTGTGTACTACTATTAAAATTCGCGTCTAATTCTCATTAGTCCTACCAAATTATTATTTTTTAAAAATTAGGAGTCTTGTTAATTCCTTTATTTTTACACAATTTAACAAATATATATAAACATAATTTAGTATATATACACATATGTTGTGCCTATATCCCAGGTAGCAAAGTTCGTCATTTTGACATCAAATTTAAGTCATGTTTGACGTCAAGTGACCAAAAAGTGATCACTTTTCATTCAGACCAAGTTTTTATTCTATAATGGCATATCGACGTCATTTTTGTAATGTTCCGTGAAGTCGTTATAAGTCGCCAGTTGAGTATAATGGTCAGTAAATGTCCAAAATATGACGTCAAAATGACAAACTGCTTGGGATAAAATGTTTCTTGAGTCCTGTTGGCGAAAAGTTAAAAATACTTTGCCAATTGGGCGCTTCATGAAATATCCGACGCATTATTTGCCGCAAATACGCGTCATTTCTTGAGACATCTTAGTGAGAAATGCGCTAGCAAATTATTTCATGTGCGAAAATGACCATTGCTTTGCTCGAAAAACGAGACCTAAACAACACACACCTGTCTATAAGATGTCTTTATAACATTTTTACGATGTCTTTATGATATTTTTTAAATATGTGTATTTTGTAGAAAGTTGCTTTATGTGAAAAGTTGTATTATATTATTTTAAAACCCATTCAAAATCATGTAAGATAATCGACGGTGTTTTTAATTCTTTCGTGTACTTTTTTTCGCAAGAATTATGATCGCAAATTGCTAATTTTCAAAATTCCTGATTCTGATTACTCTGGTCAGATTCAATCATTACAGAAATCTAATACTGATTAATTTAATACTGGCCAATTTAATACTGAAAATAGTAATTATTTATTTTAAATAGTAAAAACTGTTGTTTAGTATTTGGAGTACCTAATATACAGGGTCCATCTAAATTACAAATATATGCATAATGCGGAAAGAAATTGGACATTTTTATATAATTTAATTTAACTAAAGGACTGTAAAAACCATCTCAGATTTACAATATTAGATTTCTATAACGAAAATTCACGGTAATTTTAAGCGCCACCATAGTTTTGTGTTACGTACAATGCAGTGCAATGATATATAGTAAAAAGATCAACGCTGACAACCCTTCTGTCCAAAGGTCTTTTAGGTCTTTGTGTCCTTTTTTTTTTACAGCTTTTCTTTCCCGAACCTCGAGCGAAACTAATGCTGGACAAAAAATTGCCTATATACCTACATTTTTTTCGCCCAAAGACAATTTTTCTAAACGAATTTTTCTAAACATTCTTTCCGAATGTAGGGATCAATCCAACATTACAACAAATAAACTTACGATCGAAGTTTGAACTTTATGAATTTTCGTTTCATTTTACGAATGCACGTCGTAAAGAAGTTTCCAACTTCAAAAGAACACATACAAAAAATAGATAAAATCTTCTTTTTGATATATGAATCATTTTTGCACGCGATTGTTCTCATGATGGATTGTCGTTTAATGTCTCGTCAATTACTTAATAATTTTATAATTCTGTTATATAAAATATGACATATAAAATTTAATAAAAGTCTGCATTACATAAATATTTTTTACATAAATATTTTTTAATATACATTTTGTATATACTTACTGTTTTACATTATTTATGTGTCTCTTTGTTGGAAGGAAGAAAGGAATGAAGAAGGGAGGAGAGTAATACATAGAAAGAAAAATCTTTTTATCGAAGTTAGACCCAGCGGCGCTGTTAATGAGTAACTTTTTGATAAGTATCCCACGCGAAACTTCACGGGAATGAGATAGAGCCACCATTCGAGACGTCATCAAATAAATATTATGCAATCGCAATTAATAGCTCTCGTGTGTACTTACCGAGATATCGTACACGCGCGGTCGTACGACAACTGTAATACATATGCATATACCATAACAATCATGTATATATTATAAAATTACGTTATTCATTTAATTTATTGCTTCGAATTTCAAATGAAACAGATGATTATTCACGTTTCAGTCTTTCTTTTTAACTATTGGAAAATCTAAAACATTATTTATACATATATCGCTCTGCGATAAGTTGTCTACAAGATTTTGTGTCTTGGCTGCGATATCATACATTGGCCAGAAAACAATTAAAAACTAAGATTTCTGAACACTGAAATCACGTAAAAGCAATTCAACTCGTTTTGTGATGGATGTCCATACTGGAACATGAAATCCATTACATTTTCCTTAGGACGGTATTATAATATTAAAAGAGATAACAATAAAAAATTTATTTCCGAAATACTTCATATTAGATGCGAAAAAATTGTAAGCATTTCCAAATTTATAAACGGTAGTGTCGTTTGATTTTTAATATTTCGGCAGAAGTGGCAATAGTACATTAAATTTTAAAATTCGAAGCAACATAGTTAAAATAGTGAAATGTAAAATGCGAAAAAGAATTTTCAAAGCTATTTTATACGCCTCTACCGCTGTTATTTCTATTTTTAATTTAACCATTTATATCTTGAATCATATATTTGAGGTAAAATCTGGCTATTTCCCAGTTAAGTTATTACGCGGTGTGTTTCTAGGATCTAATGTTATGTTCGCCGATTAAACGTTTGAACTTCCGACCGGCAATAACGCCGGTGCGAAAGCTTCCCGCCCTCGAGGTCGTAGAGCTTTTAGGTACTAATTTTATGTAAAGTTATGAGACGTTGCGGCGCGCTCCAATGTGCCATCATGTTTCCCGCAGGTGCTATAATCAAGAGGTTGCGTTTCACACTGCCGCCGCGCTGCAGTATAACTAAATATTCTGCCTCCAGAAATTTCGACTCTTTTGGAGATGATAGAGTTTACGACGAAAATAATCCACGAAGCTTTCAAGCTTCGTGAAAAGTTAACACGTAGCTGAAAAGTGAAAAGTATATAAAATCGGAAGCACACACATACACAGCGAGATTTTAAGAACGCGTTTGAACACAATTTAATTGTTAACTCGTATTATACATAGAAAAATAATACAGTTATTGTAACAGCATCATTATACATATATTACAATAATATAATAACTATAATATTATATATATATATATATATATTTTTTTTTTTTAAATTGAATTAATTATAAATTCTTTGAAAAGATATCACCGTATAAATAAGCTGCAACGGGCAAACGTGCGCCTTCAGCGGTGAAGTGTTTATGGCATCATAAAAAAATAAAAATAGGAAACATTTTTACGGGCTGATCATTAAAGCCGACTCGACGAAGCAACGAAGATGTCCGCCAATTAATGTTCGTAGCCTCACGTTACTATAACTCTCCGATGTGCACAACGCGATAGGTGTATCGAGTTATCTTCGTCCGTTCAAGCTTTCCTTTCTTTTCGCGCGTTTTATCGTTATAAAAGAGAGAAATTATTTATTCTCCTATATTCAATGGCACGAAGTTGCGAGCCATAAAATTATAGATAGGAGATACAAGTTATAAATTAATGGAAGAAGTCTAAATGTCATAGCAAAAAGTCATTAGAAATATATTAAAATATTGTATTAAAATGTCAGCAAAGTTAAAAATTGTTAATTAAAAATTGTGAGAACTGTATAAATTGCTAATTGCGATGAAATCTTAATTGATCACATTTTTATATAGAAATAGTTTAGAGTAGTTTGAATATCCGACGAGATACGACAAATGAAGATTACAGTCTTGACAAAAATCACAGCTTAACGATGTATTTTACACTTTTGACAACACATATCAAATGAATTCAGCGTTTACTGAAAGAGTATATTTTTTACACAATTGATGTTGAAATGTCTGTAATTATATTATATTTTTGGAATACATTATTATCACAC